TCTTTTTTGAGTACGGGTATAAAAATAAAATAGTGAAATAATTGAAACTTATCTACTCGTAGGTTCACAATGAAAATAGATGTACTTGTACGAGTGCACTTGATGACCAAAGTAGATGAGATGGAGACAGATCACATGGGCATTGCCACTAAAACTACTCCAATGGGGCGCCCCGCCGAGACATCAATCGCTTGGGATCTATACTAAATCACAAGTTTGGAAGTGTTTTATGAGCCCTGTGACTGTAGGCAGACTAAGCGTCAACACGAATAAAGCCAGTGGGGGTGGGTCGTGGGTTACTTGAAAGGTAGGCAGGCAGCATCCATACTTGAAGCAATTAATCACACTCCGTCCAGCATATGTGGGACATTTTGGGCAACTTAGCTCGGGAACTCCATGCCAGGCGGAGGTGGTAGTGGAACTGGAACTGTAGCTGTATCTGGGAGCGAAAACGGTTTAAGATGAATAATGACAATTGGCAAAAAGTCAAAGGCAAAGGCGCAAAGCGGCGGCGGCACGAAAAGCGGCGGGCGAAATGATAAATGAATGCAGGTGGCGTCGTCTGCGAGTGTTGGGGGGAGGCTAATCGATTGACAACGACAAGAAAAAAAAAGAGGAAAAGTTTTTAATGAATTTTCAAAAGGCGTTATAATCAAAAGGAAGAAGAACTTCCTACCCGATCCATCCCTCTCCAACCACTTCAAACGAATGACAGAGGACAGAGAGAGTGTGAGTCGCAGTCTGGGGCTGGATCTGGGTCTGGGTCTGGAGGCACGCCCGAGTAATTCAATAAAACTTTGCGACAAATGAAGCCAGCCACCGCCGGAGTTGAAGTTGTGTAGCCGTAGTCGTAGTCGTAACGTAACCGTGACTTCAATCAACTGGCGAGGGAAGCGAGGAGCGAGCCATGAGCAATGGAGCGATGGCTTGCAAATGAAAATCATTTCCTTCCATGTCATTATTATGTATTTTACCCCAGTCGCCGCGACGGTTTTCACTTTTCTGCCATTGGCTTTGGCTTGGCTTTGGCTCATCGACACAGATACAGATACACAGAAACTCGTGCAGTTGGAGCTGGAGATGAGATGAACCCACCAGAGATAACAAATAAGAGCGTTTTGGCCGCGTATTCCGACTATGAGATACCCGCTACCACGATCCATTAATATCGTAGAATGAATTAGTTTTCAAACATACCAAAATAATATTCAAATGGTACATAAAAAAACCCGATTACAGTGAGGGAAAAATAAGATTAAAGAATAAAATGCTTATCCGATAGTGAAAATTACAGCATTAATGTAAATGTAATATAACATTAGAACAGTTCCTCCACACTTAAGGGGTTGTATCTCTAACGCTTGTCTGTTGATCAGGATCAGGATCAGTATCAGGAATATACGATATGCCCTTGTTCGCTACGAGCATCGGGTACACGAGTAAGGAGCAAATCCCAACTTCTGCTCCAGCATTCGCCTTCGTTACCCGCCGAGCCGAACCGAACCGAAATTTTACTTTGCCGTTTGTCTGGCGTTGTATGCTTTCCGTTTCCGCTTCCTTAGCCGTTTGCAGTTTTGTTGCTGACGCTGCTCCTTCGCCCTCTCCCTTTCCAGACCGCGTCCGCCATCGCCTCCATCCCTCCGCTCCAGCCCAACGACGGCGGCGGCGGCAATTTGGAGAATTTTTCACATAAAAAATAATAAGAAAAGTTGTATGCTAATGTTGTTCTCCTCTGCGCTGCTTCGGTCTCGTTCCGCTGCGTGCTTTGTGTGCGTATTGGAAAAGAAGAAAAGAAATTGAAAAACAATTTTTGCATTTGGCATTTTCTCAGCGGGATGGAAATGCGCGGGAGGGTGTGGGTGAGGGCTGAGTCGACTAGAGAAAGTGCCCAAAGAACTTCTAGCTTAAACTTAAGAGCTTACTGTAGACGTACTGTGGATTCCAGCCCCCAGAAGGGTTACATATCGAAACATGTACTTAATTTATGCTTCGCGTACTATGTATTATTTTTTGTATATTTTGGTGTGTCAGCTATCTGTTACATTTTTCAATGCCACTTATCGTTCGACTCATTGTCGGAGATGATGTTGGTTCGTTCCCCCTACAATTATTGGGATAAGCTAGTTAGGTGCTCTTTTGCTCCTCTCTTCCTGCCATTACTATTGACAACCTGGGAAGAAATTAACCCTTAACACAAACAGCCACCCACGAAATGAATTAAATCTTTAAAAGCAATTCCAAGCGGCGAGTTTCATCAACTTTTTAATTAGTTTTGCAATCGGAAAAAACAGAATGGGAGGAGCGGAAACTTTCCCAGTCGAAGCTTGCCGAGCTGATGGAACAATCAGGAGGGAGCGAGTCATACGGGGCGGCAAACTTTGCTTTATAATTTCAAAGGTAAATATTTATTCTCCTGCTAATGCCTCGCGGCCATAATCAACAGCTTCAAAATGCCAACCGAACCGCACCGAATAAAACTGAGCAGAACTGAACCGAGCCAAACCGAACCGAACGGAACGGAACAGAACTGAACAGAACTGGACCGCGTCGCGCACTCTCTACAAAGTAATCAATTTTTTGAGGACACTCCAAAGCCCGACCGACTTTGGCAAAAGTTGTGTTGCAGTTCCCAGAGCCATCAGCAGGAACCCCATCCGTTCGGCTGCTCCCCCACCCCCCAACAACCAGCCGGCACTGCCCAACCGCACCCACCCACACCCCCAGCTCATCAACCACAAAGTTCAGCCATCACCTGGACTCGTCGAGCGCCGCAGGGTCCGGGGACTGGACTGGCCTGGCCTGGCCTGGCGTTGGCTTCCCAAATGGCTCCCAACTGACTAGCTGACGGACGACTACCTGTCGTCATTTCGGTTGACGCTCTCACTCTTGCTGCAGTACTCTTGCGAAGGGTGCTAAAGCTATCCCTGAAGCTTGGACAGTTTCGCCTGAACTATACACGAGTATATTCTGGATCAGCATCCACAGCTGAGTCTGACAGTGGCAAATAAAATTTGAATCATTTTTCCACAAGATTTAAGGATGTGTAAAACGGAAGAACTATAAAAAATGTCCAAGAATAGAAAGAGCGGTCGGTGAGGGTATCTACAGGTTCGGCTCTGAGCCTAGTCTATCCTCAGGTGGTGTGGTCGCTGCCTCTCCTGATGTGCCCCTTTTTGTTGTGGTTGTTGTTGTTGTTGTTGCTGTTGTTGTTGTTGTTGCTGTTGTTGTTATCCTTGTTGCTGGTGTTTTACGGTTGTGGGCGTAGTGCCGTCGCGCTGCCGAAAGTTTTTCCGCTAAAAAGTGGAAATGCTGCCTCACGTGCTATGAAATTTTTTATATTTGTTGATTTTTGGCTTAGAGTGTTGACCAAAAACAAAGTTCCAGTTGGCTTTTGTTTTTCAATTTCAAGCTGTTTTTTTTTTGCACTCCCTTTTTTCTTCATTTTTTTCCTTTATTTTTTTGTTTGTTTTTGCCAGGGCCGGGGCCAGAGCCAGGCACCCATCAATGTGAACCCTTTGACGTTTTGGGTTTCATGTTGGGCCTGTGCGCCTCACTACACTATTCACTCCCCCTGCGCCGCTTGGTGTTTGCCTTTTTAATAACTAAATATCCTTTGTCAGCCCGCTGCACGGCACTTTAGTTTGATTGGAACGCAACTATTGGGGCCCGCTGCCCATCAATCCCCTTATTGGCTTCCTCCCTGGCGCGGAGACTGCCATCAGAAATGACGCGAAAGTCAAACGGCTCCTCTGCCCTTGTGGGATTCGCTGGAAGATCTCTCTCAAAAACTCTTTCATCGATATCTCTTGAAACTTTTGAGAGTTGGAAAACTTCCGTCGTTCTTCTGGCCAATCTGGTCACAAAAGGGAGAGGCCTTTGACCAAGCTGCTGTTTTCCTTGGTCATCAATAACATGAGCGGAATTCCATCAACAGTTTGCGATTGACTTACGGGTATATGGACCACAGAATTCAAGAATTACTGCCGTGTACGAGTACTATGAGTTCGTACAACATTCTACATTATGCAGGGGTCCGAATCGTGATTTTGGGTGGGGGAAATTAGCCTGCAGCTTAAATTGTGTTCTCCCATTCAAATTCAGCATAAAGCCCGAGCTCTGCGAACTTAATATAATCCACTTTCGCGTGGAGTGTGGGGTGTGGAGCGTGGATCGTGGAGCTGCTCCACACTCTGTGACATTATACTTATTAGCTTTCGATTTGCGTAGTGGCTTTAGCTAAATGCCACTGGTGCACGGGGCACGTGCCGAGCGAGCAGCGTTCGGCGAACGTTTTTTAAGTGATGTCTGCCCGGTGCCGGTGGCTGGCCCGAGGAGGACACAAACTAGTCCTCTCCTCTCTCTCTGGCTGGTGGTGGTGTGACAGGCATATTAAAAAGGACACTGCCAACATCATGTCCCCAGCATGACGTGCCAAAAACTAAGTAGTGTCAGCATGGCAATCAAAAGGCATGCCACGGCTTTGCTCCCATTCCACGTGCAGGTGTGCGGGCAGGGATCAGAACCAGAACCAGAACCAGGAGCAGGACCGGGACCATACCCACATTTCTCTCACTCCTCGCCTCAAATAGGCAGTTGGCATTACATGCCTTTTGTGTTGCCCGTGCGCCTGGATACGCAAAGAGATTGCTTCTGTTACGTAGCCTTCCATTGGGTTGGGTTGGGTTGGGTTGCCTTCCATTTCGGTTTTGGTTGGGCTGTGTACGGCTCTTGGAGATGTGGTGCAGGTGCTGGTGCTTAGGCTGTAGGTGTAGGTGTAGGTGTAGGGTAACCAAACAGCACATTGCTCTTAGAGCACGTTGTTTTAGGCTAAGTGACGGGCGTGGCCGTGGTCGTGGCCCGACTCAATTGTTGCCCCCGAATGGAAATGTTTTACTTACTTTACCAAGGGCTTGCTCCATAGCGACGCGATGGCATGCCCATGCTCATGCTCCCATTCCGATTTCCCAGTTCCCCCCGCACTTATCAAGGAGTCCATTTGGTTGTGTTTTAAATATTATGCACGGACGTTTATTGAAATGGTATTTCTCTTGTGTCTTGCAATGCAAATCATAGCAATAACTTAGCACCTAATGCCATCTGCTTAAGTATATTACACAAAAAAGGTACAACTTAAGTCTGTAAGGGGTGTGGGAGGGAGTGTGGGGTGGGGAAGGTGGGGAAGGTGGTTGGAAAACTCTCTCCAACTGAGAAAGGGAGGGATCTGTGGGGGAGTTATCGCATGTGCACTAACATTAGACAAATATTTACGGGCTTATACGTACTAGCACTACGGTTCTTAGACATGTACGTACACGTGAATACACTTACATATGGTAGATATACGTTCCGGTATTGTATTGGTATCCCGCTAGTGCACTAGTGTCCGTATTTATAATGACTGCTCCTTCAAGCTCTCTCTGCTCGAAGCTACTCGACCAAAACGCGCGACAGACAATCTGACAGTGCGGATCGGTTCCTATCCTAGTACTGGGGCTATGCATGCATTACTATCCGTATGTTTATTTGTTTTATTTGCTTTAGTTTATGTTGAAATTCATTGAAACTTTTACCTGGCCTTTACTGGGCCTTACTAGCTCTTCTTACAGAGTATTAGAGGGTCTACAACAGGGGGGGATGCCAGGGCTTAAGGGTGTTAGGGCGTGTACTCGTATGTTCTGTATCTTCTAATCGTTTGAAATGCATTGAAATGTCACTTGTCCTTACACGCTAGCCTACAATTAAAAGAGTTGCATATATGGGGAGAGCATCGTCGGGTTGTTGGCCTCTGGTGGTTCCTCTTTCTGAGATCTTCTTCCTCGCTTCGCTCCGGTTGCCCAACACACCCACTCCCACTGCTTCTGCATAAATACGTAACTATCTTCATAATCGTACCATATATGTGGTACGTGCGGGGATCTGCGGTCTAGCTGCAAGTAGGTGCGAGCCCCGCTCTAGGCGCTACCTTTTAAATATGTCTTTGGGAACAGAGTGGACGACGTGGTCTGCTGGAATATCTTGCGACGTCGCCTCTTGTTGTATTTACAGGTCTTGGCATGCTTCAGCACCGCTGGTTAAACATATCTGGTAATCTGGGTGTGGAACTCCGAGAGGCAGATCTGCAGCTGGCTGAACGAGGGTCGCTCGGCCGGCATCGAGGCCCAGCAATAGGCCATGATCGTGAAGCTGCATGTGATGAGAAAACAGAAATAATGCACTACTTTAGTACGGGAAAAACACTGGGGAAACTCCGCCAGCAAACGCCAGCAAACGCCGGAAACAGTCCACAACGAGACGCGAACAGACGGGCGGGCTTTGGGTATACGAATATGGGTCTGAGGTACACTTACAGCTCGTCAGGGCAGTTGAAGGGCTGGGCCAGTCGATAGCCGTCCTTGAGATAGTGCTCCATCTCATAGGGATCGATCTCGGCGTAGGGCAGCTTGCCCAGCGTGCACATCTCCCACATGAGGACGCCGAAGGACCAGACGTCGCTGCCCTCGTTGTAGTGGGACTTCTGAAGGGCCTCCAGGGAGAGCCACTTGATGGGTCGATACTCGCCATCGCCCAGGCAGTTGTAGTCCCCGGCAAACAGGTCCCGACTGAGGGCACTGTCCGTCAGCTTGACGCGCAGCTGATCATCGATCCTGAGGGAGAAAAGATGGAGGATGGCAAAGGCGCTCCTTAGATCGTAGCTCGGTGCAGGGACAGGGCCCAGAGATCCCATTCGGCGGCTCTACTTACACACAGTTCCTGGCCGCAATGTCCTTGTGGATGACGCCGTGGTTGTGCAGGTGCTCCATGGCCATGGCCAGCTGGGAGGCCATCAGCACCGTCTGAATGGTGGTCACACTGCGAGCGTACGAGGGGTCCTGCAGGAAGGTCTTCAGGTTGCGGACACTGCCCGTGGCAGCATACAGGACGAACGGGGTGGCGTAGTCCTCGATGGAGATGCCCAGCACGGAGAGAACGTTCGGGTGGATGGCCTCGTAGAGCATCATGGACTCCTGGAGCAGGAGGTTCACTTGCAGCTGGCTGGCGTGTTGCGCCACAGTCTTAACCAGAACCTCCTGACAGTCATTGTAAGTGCCGCGATAGATGCGCCCAAAGTTTCCCTCCTGCACGAGACAGGAGAGACGCACGCGGCACTTCTGGACTGTCAGCTCCTGGAGACGGCGGTTGAACTCCTCAGGCTCATGCTCATATTCGCGAAAGGGCCGCGTCAGAGTCGCGTAGGTGGGTGTTATGGTCGAGGGGCAGACATAGATCGAGTTGTGGGCGGTCGACGAGATCGTGGGCAGTCGCTGGAAGCTGGAGGTCTTGATCAAGTGCACCCCGTTCGAGGGATGGCGCTTGGAGGGACCCTTGGCACAGTAAGCGATCAGAATGAGGGTGGACACGAGCACCAGGGCCAGGATGCCGCCCACAATCAGGGTCACCAGGCCGCTGGCCGGCGGCACCAGGTTCTCCCTCAGCATCGGATCGAAGTCCCGTTTGGAGCCGCCCGCATTCCCATTTCCATTCCCATTGCCATTGCCATTGCCCCGACCCACATTTGGTGGTGGCTCGGTCACCGCATTCCGGTGCTTCTCCTTGTCGTGATCCTTGGCACTAGGGGCCAAGTGCCCGTTGGCCACGACGTGCTCCTCGTTGTGGTCGACATAGTGAACGTCCTCGTGGCCGCCCAAGGCCGGCTGCAGCACGTCGTCGTCGTCGTACTCTTCGTGGGCGCTGTCCTGCTCCTCCTTCAGGCAGATCTTCTTGCGCTTGAAGATCAGGTTCGTGTTGTTGTTGGTGGCCCGGTCAAGGATCACCTCCACGTTGATGGTGACGGTGACCTCGGCGTTGCGCGTGCCCGAGCACTTGAGGGCGATGCCCCAGGTCTGCGGCTCCTGCGGCACGTCCCCGATCCGGGAGATGTTCAGCAGCGGGCGGGGCAGCACGTCCGTATCCGAGGTGGCCACGTTGATGCTGTACGGCAGCGGGTGCTCCACCAGCGACTGCCACGTGAAGGTCACGTCGCTGATGTTGGCCGGCACGGGAACGGCGAAGTTCAGGGCGTAGTCGTTGATGGCTCCCTCCCGCACATAGTACAGCTCCGCGGAGACGCCTACAAGGAACAAGAGAGAAGGCAAAATCCGTTAGCAATGCTTGTTGCATGTTGCATGTTGCAACAGTCACAGTGACTGTGACTGTGACCCTACGAATCAGGGAAGAACTTTTCGCCCAGTCACCCGGAGACGTCTGCATAATCAATCACCAAGGATAAACCGTTTTCTTCTGCTCCCTTTCCTGTGGGTGGGCGAGGGCGTGGTGAATTGATTTCCCCTCCCACTCGGGGCTCGGCCAATATCTGTCCCTCGAGACACTTCAGTGACAGATCGAAGGAGTCAAATGGCATTCCGGCACTCGCCTCAAAGTGTTTCTCCCTCTCGTGTATTTTGTAAACAGTCAGCAGATAAGTTGGATATTATACATGTATATGTATGTATCAGTTTATTACGTTAACTGAGCCCGGGTAGCGGGTAGGTACGCAGCACCCCAGCACAGACACCTGTCTAAGGGTGTCTCTCCCTCCCTGTGCGTATCTGCATTGTATCTAAATTGATCTGATAGTTTTGACAGCTTGTGCATGTTGTACGCTGCCCCTGCCCCCTACTCCGAGGCTGTAACTGTTACCTGCCTGCCTGCCTGCCTGCCTGCCCGTCTCACAATGCACTTTTAATTTAATTAGCCGTACGATTACTCATTACTCGTGTTAAGGGGTGACGGTGGCAGTGACCCCTCCCTCACAACGAACCCTGCCTTGCGTGGAGCTCAATAAATCAATCAAAATTTAGGACCAGAGCGGACCGCGGACCCCTGGCCAAGACATGCGACTCCGACACTCCCCCTCCCGCGTAGGCGTGGCCCGGTGGGCAGGTTAAATGTTCATGCTTAATTAAGGCTGCCTGGCTGCTGCTGCTGCTGCTGCATGTGTGCGTTGCATGCCCCGTCTGCACCCGTGCGCCGCTGCAGCGAGTGGCAATGTTTATTGTAGATTTTTATCGCAGTTGCAGTTGCCGTCGCCCCTGCCCCTGCCCCTGCCCAACCCCCGTCGCAGTTACATTTTATTCTTGTACATTTTATTTTAATTTATTCCACTTATGCTTCGGCCTATTCATGGCACCCACAGAGAGAGAGAGGGAGAGAGAGAGAAGGTAGTGCATAAAGCGGTCTATATATTCATATCGTACTAATTAGTGGGGACAAGCCCGGCACCCAGACCAGGGCCAGGACCAGGCACTCCAGCTCTCCAGCACTGCCTCTACGGCTCCTTGCACGCTTCGTTTGCACTCTGGAAATGTAATTAGTAGCGATGCCCTAGCAGGGAGGGGAGCTGGCTCTGGCTCTGCAGCTGGAGCTGGAGGCGGAGTCGGAGTCGGAGTTCGAGGTCTGGGGGTAGATATGAAAAACTGTCGCATAATGAACTGAGTCGGCAGAGATAGAGAGCTGATGATAACTGCCTCGCGACGGGGGGGGCCAAGGGGTTAATGGGCCTCAGACATGTGAGGTGCAGCTCGTAGAATGTGAAAGCGCAGAAATTTAAGGAAAATTCAGAATAAAAACCTTGAAGCTTTTGGAACAATTACAATTTAAATTCCTTTCCGCACCGCACCGCACCACCCCACCCATTACCCCACACAATTATAGACAAGTAATAGCAATTGGGACTGGGACTGGGACTGGGACCAACCCCAATAGCAAGCCTCAGCCCCGCGCGACGCGTTTTGCATTTCAACGCCAGGGTCTAGTGCTAATTAGTGTGGATTGCCCAGCAAATGAAGTAGATGCCAGGCAGGCGGAGCATGGTGGGGCAGGTGCCGTGAGGAAAATCGATTTTGCCCAGCACCCATCAATCGGGGAAGGCGTGGGGGCAGTGGAGAGGCGCCAGCAGCTCCCGAAAACTTCTACTTGAAGTGCCACTGACACATAAATTCGACGCTGGGCGAAAAGTAAAAGTTTTAGCTGCGCGAAGTAAAATAGGGAAAAGGAATAAAAGGGAGACGAAAGCAATTGCGTCTCCCGCTGGGCCAGTGGCGATGGAAGAGTTGACTTACAGCGGGGAAATCTCTGTCGGATAACAGACAAAAAAATGGCTTTAATTTGGCTAAAAACGTCTCGGAAATTCGTTCTCCGTCGCTGGAATAAATCCATTCAACTGTTCGAGTTCCACAACGGCTTGCACATCCACAGTCACAGCCTCAGCGAAAGCGATTTGAATTCATGGCACGACATCTATTTAATTTCAATTACAACCCTAAAAACGCCATGGCTAACGCACAAACCGAAAAAAGGAAAAGAATTGCCAATTTTGTGAGCTCCCCAATAGCCCCAGAAAACTCGTGCGAGTGTTCCCCCATCTCGCCGCCTTTCAGCAACCCGTCCGGATCCTAATTTATGCAAACCCAAGCCAGACATGAGTGAGATTTCCAGGCCAGACCAGAGCAGACCAGACCAGACCAGACCAGACCAGAGCCGAGCCAGACCCGAGCCAGACCAGAACCAGACCATATCAAACGAGTAGTGGGTAGTTTGGATATCATTTTATGCTTTCTTAACATATTTTTTTCTGTTGTTCGCTCGCCCACATTGCGTCACTCTCGTCTGTTAGGGTTTTGGGACTGTGTTTGCATCTGATGTGGTGGGGGGGTGGGGATTTCGCAGGCCATAAATCCGAAATTGTCTTTTGACACATGAATATGTTGTGCATTAAAGCAGACCCCAAGCGAGAGCCCTTTCCCCAAACAGAGACAGTGACAGGGACAGGGACAGTGGAGGGTGGAGAGAAGGGAGGGAGGGAGAGACGACGCGTCGTACAGAGTCTAAAGTCAGACGACATTTTTATTATTATCTGGGGGAGTTATCTGACTCGGCCCGCGGCTGAGGCTGAGGCTGATGATGACATTTGGTTGGGCATTGGCCTAGAAGCTGATGCTGATTTAGGGCCGCTTTCGGATGGGCCATTCGGGGGGTGGAGAGACGAGGGTTGGGCAGACATCTAATGGGTTTTGCCATTTCAATCTCCATCCCCATCTGCATACCAAGACCAAGAGCCGCAAATTTGTCTAAGCCAAAGGCTGGCTCATCATAACTCAAGCCTCCTCCTCCCTTTCTTCTATCGCATTCCTTTGATGCTCAAACGAACTGCTAAAATGCAGCTTGCAATTCTCCAAATTATATGTTAGTCGAGGATGCTGATTAAATCGCAGTGGAGTCGAGTGGAGTTCGACTCTGAGTCTGAGTCTGAGTCTCACCATAAAAGGTCAAGAGCAGACATGGATGCCGGGTGCCTGGTGCCTGGTGCCTGGTTCCTCGACAGTGAACAGGGCAGACAGCGAATGAAGACCAAGGTAAGGCAATTTTTATGCTCAAATGGTCATGATTCGTGCTTGGCTGGCTTGGCTTGGTGGTTAAGAAGGCCTCCTCGCAGAGCGCTGTCTGACCAAACAACTTATCATCAGCTTGCACCGCTCCACTCCACTCCACTCCGCTCCGCTCCGCTCGGTTGCGATCCGCAGAGCGTCAGAGTGTAAGACAAACAAGCCAAAGGACATGTGAAGTGACTCCAGCCAGGCAACGTTGGGGCTCCTCTCTGACAGTCTGCCAGTCTTCCAGTCTGCCAGTCAGGCGCAGGCTGTGTGGCAACTTCATCCAGTAGCTGCCAAGTATTTCTATTTGTATTTCATCGCCCGCTCGAGCAGCTGCAATTTATTTTCCCCATTCCCTTCCTGCGTTTGCGTATGCTTTTGCGTCTGCGTCTGTGTTTGGGTATGAGTCTGAGTCTTGGCCTGGCCTGGCTCTGCATCCAGCATCACGGAGCTATTGCTGCTGCTGCTGCTGGTTCTGTTCCTACCTTTTCTTATTGCCCGCCTGCAGCACAAACGCAATCATCATGTCCCAGTCCGGCCCTGCAACTCCCCACTCCAGAGCTGTGTATTTTCTTTTACATTATCACCTCGACGCGGCCTCTTCATCGAAGACTCCCTCCTTCCGCGCCTTCCGCGCCTGGTCTTGGCCTGGTCAGCACCATAAATTCTGCGAGGCTGCCTGCAGTGGTGCATAAATTATGTTACCAAACGCTTGTAGATTTCTATGACAAAGCCCATAAAAGAAACGCATTACATTTATGGTTCTTGCAAGCAATGGGAATGGCAATGGGAATGGGAATGTGATCTGGGGCGTCTGTCTCAAGCTTCGTTAGGTCTCTTCTCTTTCTTTCAATTAAAAATGTAAATTCCGCCTGTACTGGGAAAGGGAAAGGGATCAGGATCGAAATCGGAAGCGACTGGGGGTCAGTAAACCTCTCTGATTCAGAGGAACCATTGATGAAAACTTGCGAGAAGAGAATCTTGTCTCAAGATATCTAGGGTGTAGAATTCCCTGCCCAATGGCCGATACTCCTACGAATTGCAAAAAATAAATGAAAGCCTCCAAAGGACTTTGCCATCGCCCACCCAACCAACCGCACCTCGCCTGATCCCATTCGGGTCAAGACACTTAAACAGCTTAATTATTCCCCCACTAATCTGTAATTAATCTAATGCCCGAGCTACTTGGCCGATATCTGCTACAAAATACCCTCAAATACGGCTCAAGTGCTTGGAGCAGGTGCGCCACCCCAACCAAGCCGCAACTTGGAAGTCGACACAGGACTCCCGCTGCCACTCCGAATCACAGGGTTGGCAGGCGTCCGAGGGAGTGAACCGAGCCGATTCGAAGCGATGCCATGTGATGTGAAGTGAGTCCTATGAACTCATAAAAAAATCAAAAGGAGCATTAACAGGGAGGGTCTTAAATTTAATGTGATTATCTGGAGAAGTAAATGTGATTATTATCCGAGAGACCAGATAGAAGGCACCAACACCTGGTGAAGCGGCAGCAGCAAACCAGCAAACCAGCAACAGCCGCAGGGAATCGTGGCAGATACCCGTATGGCAACAGCCAGCCACATATCCATCAGTCCTGCCCCTCATCCCCATCAGCTCTCTCCCATGACAGTGATTTCCCCCACAGAAACGCTGGGACAGAGGCAGCCATTAACTTGCCACTGGTGCAAAGTTTTCTTTC